GTTGTTGCTGCTGCTGCTGCTGCTGCTGTTCTTGTTGGAAATCCGCAAACAGGATTCCAGCCCAAGAACCCTGTCCCCTCCTGTGGCAGTGGCAGACCTTGGGGTTTCAAACTGGTTGCGCTCCCTTGTCCACCTCTTTGTGGCTTCCAGCAACTGGCACTCAGAAGCCTCACTGCCTCTGAGCACGGAGGCAGAGCAGAGCCATGGTGCCTGGGAGCCATCGATCGCCCTCTCCTCCTCCTCCTCCTCTTGCCACCTTTGGGAGCAAGTTCCCTACTTTCCTCCAAAGGCATGGCTTCTTCAATAAGAGGTTTAAAGCTCTGTGTCCATGTGCTCTTTCTTTTTTGACAAAAACCCAGCTCTTTAAAGCAGAAGCGTAAAAATAAATAAATGGCAATTTGGTTTGCCCATGGATTGCCATTTGTTCCAATTCTGCTTTAAAGAGCAGGTTTCTGCAGGGAGGGCTGCAGAGAAAAGAAAGAGTACAGTGTTTTAAAGCTCTGGCTGTGCAGAAGGAAGGTAAGTGTGGATAAGCCCATAGTCAAGGAACATTCAGGGCCATTGCTCAGGCTTTCGGGATTTTTAAACACCAGGTTCCCCTGGGGAAGAGGCAGAGCCCCTCTTTGGACGCAGGCGGCTCACTCTTCCACCTCCAGTTAAGGCGGGGGTTGTGTGTCTGCGTGAAACCCAGGAGAGTCGCTGCCAGTCTGAGCAGGCAATACTGAACTAGATGGACCACCAGTCTGCCTCACTATAAGGCAGGGTTTTCCGGACAGAAGCGAGGCAGTTTGGCCGGCCTCAGAGGAGCGGCCTGTGCAAGACGGGGCGAGACTTGGTGACTTTGCCTTGTCTTCCTGCTTCCCTCCCAGCGCACTCCAACCGCCAGCTCAGCTCAGCCTGGGTGACAGTGACGACCCACCACAGTCCCGCTCTCGCCGGAGAGTGGCAGGAGGGTAGTTTCTTCTTGGCTGCGTGCGCTGTGCGCTCGTGCATGATCCCGTCTCGCTGGAGGGAGCGCTCCTCACGTCCTTGCTCCAACTGGGACGCTGGAGCGGAAACCGTCACCTCCCGCGTCTCCTCGTCCTCTTGTCACATCGATTGCACGGGACGCTTCTCCCCGACTGAGCTCGGAGGGAGCTGGGCGCCTGACAGGATCCACTTTCTAACTTGGTCACCAGGCTGTGTGGTGATGGGGTGTGTGTGTGCCGTGCAACCTGCCCCAGAAGCAAATGACACAGCTCTGGCTTGTTGGAAAGAGAAAGGCTGCCTTACTCTGAGTTAGAGCAATGGAGCTCACCATTCCCTAGGTCAGGGGTTCCCAAAGAGATGGGGTTCCCCGGGAGGGGTTGGCAAGGGGTGTGGGTGTGTCATGGACCACCCAGCTTCGTAAAGAGAGAGTCACAGGACCTGCAACCTTGCTTGTTATTGGCATCACACTCCAACCAACTGAGCTATCCAGGAAGTTCCAACCACTTTGCCCATTGAATTAGGGCGAGATGTTTCAGGGCCAACTCTCTGGGGAGCATCACAACAACAACAACAACAACAACAACAACAACAACAACAACAATTATTTATTATTTATACCCCACCCATCCGGCTGGGCTTCCCCAGCCACTCTGGGCGGCTTCCAACAAAATATTAAAATACAGTAATGCATCAAAGCTGAGGCTCCAAGACTTTGGCCACCTCATGGGAAGAGAAGACTCCCTGGAAAAGACCCTGATGCTGGGAAAGATGGAGGGCACAAGGAGAAGGGGACGACAGAGGAGGAGATGGTGGGACAGTGTTCTCGAAGCTACCAGCATGAGCCTGACCAAACTGCGGGAGGCAGTGGAAGACAGGAGGGCCTGGCGTGCTCTGGTCCAGGGGGTCACGAAGAGTCGGACATGACTAAACGACTAAACAACAACAACAACGCATCGAACATTAAAAGCTTCCCTAAGCAGGGCTGCCTTCAGATGTCTTCTAAAAGTCTGGTAGTTTTTCTTTTCTTTGACATCTGGTGGGAGGGCATTCCACAGGGCAGGTGCCACCACCGAGAAGGCCCTCTGCCTGGTTCCCTGTAACTTCGCTTCTTGCAGGGAGGGAACTGCCAGAAGGTCCTTGGAGCTGGACCTCAGTGTCCGGGCAGAATGATGGGGCTGGAGATGCTCCTTCAGATATACTGGACCGAGGCCGTTTAGGGCTTGAAAGGTCAGCACCAACACTTTGAATTGTGCTCGGAAACGTCCTGGGAGCCAGTGTAGGTCTTGACTCTCCGTCTGGGATTTGTGAGCTGTGATCTCTGCATCGCAGGGGGGTTTGACTAGATGACACCCAGGGGTCCCTTCTATGATTCTATGGCCCGTGGGGAATAAATGCACAGGGAGGGGAGGTCTGATACCGTGTGTCCCTCTAGGACAGGGTTTGCCAAACCCAAGCCTCCTGCTGTTCTCCGGACTACAACTCCCACCATCTCTAGCTAGCAGGACCAGGTGCCAGGGTGATGGGAATTGCAGTCCAAAAGCATCTGGAGACCCAAGTTTCGGAAACATTGATCCAGGAGAAAAGCCCAGAAAGTGGGGGATTCTTCCTGTTGTCCTCATGTGCATATCTGTGATAAGTGATGGCAGAGCTCCAGTTCCCAAAAGGGGAGCCATAGCCCCACCCCATAGGGAATTCTGTCCGAAATTTTCCATAAGTTTACTGAGGGTCAAGGAGTCCTTTTCTGCAATAGCTGGGGGTGCCTAATGACCCTGTTTGTTTATTGCTTGCTCTTATCTCCCCACAACCCTTCCCTTAATTGCAGGCAAGCCAAGTCTGACCTCCTTCCAGATTCTGTCGGACTCGCTTTGCTTGCTAGGGATTATCTGGCCCAAGGACTGGTGGCGAAGGGGGACGGAGGGGGGTTGTTTTTCTCTCCGCCTGTGGCCTCCGAGGGTGGCCGGGAGGGCAAATGGGGGAGCTGGCCAGGCGTGGGCACGGGAAACCTCCAGATCAAACAAAATGGTCAAAGGCCTGGAAATGATGCCTTATGAGGAACGGCTAAGGGAGCTGGGCATGTTTAGCCTGGAGAAGAGGAGGTTAAGGGGTGATATGATAGCCATGTTCAAATATATAAAAGGATGTCATATAGAGGAGGGAGAAAGGTTGTTTTCTGCTGCTCCAGAGAAGCGGACACGGAGCAATGGATCCAAACTACAAGAAAGAAGATTCCACCCAAACATTAGGAAGAACTTCCTGACAGTAAGAGCTGTTTGACAGTGGAATTTGCTGCCAAGGAGTGTGGTGGAGTCTCCTTCTTTGGAGGTCTTTAAGCAGAGGCTTGACAACCATATGTCAGGAGTGCTCTGATGGTGTTTCCTGCTTGGCAGGGGGTTGGACTCGATGGCCCTTGGGGTCTATTCCAACTCTAGGATTCTATGATCATGCTGTAGAAACAGCCAAAGAGAGCGCAGGTAGATGTGGGGAGGTGATAAGGATCAGACCAGACTCCAGGGTCAGGGAGAGGAGTTGTGGTGCTCTAGAGCAGGGGTCAGAAAACTTTTTCAGCAGGGGGCTGGTCCACTGTCCCTCAGACCTTGTGGGGGGCTGGAATATATTTTGAAAAAAGTAGAACGAATTCCTATGCCCCACAAATAACGCAGAGATGCATTTTAAATAAAATGACACATTCTACTCATGTAAAAACATGCTGATTCCTGGACCGTCCGCAGGTCAGATTAAGAAGACGATTGGGCAGGATCTGGCCCCCGGGCCTTAGTTTCCCTACCCCTGCTCTAGAGAGATTCCCCCTCCCGACTCTCCCCAGGAAAGATCACCTGGCGCCTTCCTCAAACACCTTTAGGCACCTGGTGAAAACCTTCATCTCCAACCAGGCCGCTGGCTGATGGATATCTGATGCCCTTTAAAATGTGCTGGATGTGTGTGTGGGACTCTCGGTTTGTTTTAGTTTTCATTTCTATTATGAATTTTGCGGTTTAGGGAAGTTTTTAATGTTTGACGTTTTATTGTGTTTTTAATACAGTGGCACCTCAGTTTACGAACAATCCTATTTACAAACGATTTGGTTTACGAACTTCGCAAAACCAGAAGTAGTGTTCCAGTTTGCAAACTTTACCTCGGTCTGAGAACGGAATCCGAATGGTGGAAGGGCACTGGCGGCAGGAGGCCTCATTAGGGAAAGCGCGCCTCGGTTTACAAACCATTTTGGTTTAAGAACGGACTTCTGGAATGGATTAAGTTCATAAACCGAGGTACCACTGTATTCTGTTGGGAGCTGCCCAGAGTGGCTGGGTAAACCCAGCCAGGTGGTCGGAATATAAATTCTATTATTATTATTATTATATCATGATTTTATGTCACGAACTGCCCTGAGGCCTACGGATGGAGGGTGGTATGCAAGAGTTAATTAATTAACCATCGTTGTGGAGCCCTGCAGCACCTGCTCCCCGTCCCCCGCTCGCCTCGGCACCCAGGGCAAGCGAACCAGTTGCCAGTGGTGGACTTTCAGATTTCAGATTTCGGCAGCGCCCTGCACGATGCCTCCTGCAATCATTGCTTCTTCCTCTTAACTTGGTGCCTAGAGTGGGCAAAGCAGTCGCTGTCCCCTAACCATAGCTGTCAACGCTTCCCTTTTTTTAAAGGAAATTCCCTTATTCCGAATAGGATTCCTTGCAAGAAAAGGGAAAAGTTGACAGCTATGCCCCTACCCCTGCCTCTGTGGCCAGTGGCGTAGCAAGGTCAGGTGGTACCCGGTGCAGAAAATTTATTGTCACCCCCCCACACATTGACATTTTTATTTTTTGCCTGCAAAAATGGTATGACTTCATTTCATATTTTGGGGGGGAACCAGAGTTGTTGACACCCCGTGCGAACCGCACCCACCTTGCTCCACCCCTGTCTGTGGCTGCCCACTGGGATGCCAGCCTCGTTGGCCAGATCCGGCCCCCTCTTTTGACGTCCTCCCTCCCTCTCTCCGTCCTGCTGACCCTCTTTCTCTCCCCTCCATTCTCCAGGTTCCTCCTGCAAGAGGCCGTCGGACGGAGCCTGCGACGGAGGCCAATGTGGAGGTTCCTGCTCCTCCTCTGCCTGCCCCCTCTGGGCGCCGGGACGCCTCCCGGCCCCCGCCTGCCAGCGGGGCTCAGCAACAACAACTCCAGCCATGGGCTCCAGGCCACCGGCACGTCCCCAACCCCCCCACCGGTGACCCCCACCCTGCTGCCCACCCACAGCGAAGCCCCCGGCCTGTCCCTGAACCTGGGTCTCAATTTCAAGATCAAGGTTCGGGGCAAGGGCCGGGCGGGCGAGGGGCCCACCAGCACGAAGCCCCCCACCCAGCCAGCTGCCCCCACCCACTCCCAGGCACCAGGTGCCAGTCGCTTCTGGGCAGAGGCACTGGGGGGCTCCGGGTGGCAGGCTAGCATCCCTGCTGAGGAGCTCCCCCCCGGGCCGGGCGGGTGGGCTTGGGGCGGCCCCCCGGCACCCGCCGACCCCGACCTCCTGGGCCCCGGACCCACCCCTCAGCACCCACTGACGCTCTGGCCCAGGCTGACGGAGAAGGTCTTGGCTGCTCCTGTGGGCGAAGACAGCAAGGAGCTGGAGTTCAAGATCGACATTGACCTGACGGCCGGGCTGGGCAAGGAGGGCGGCCTGGCGCCCAACAGCAGCAGTGGCGGCACTGCCAGGCGGTACCCGCTGCTCCCTGGCCTCCGGGTCGGGATCTCGGAGATTGCCAGCAAACTGGGGGGGCCGGGTGAGTATCTGTTGCACGGGGAGGGAGGGAGGCCAACAGTAGGGGGCGCTGGAGCCCATGGCTAGGAAGAGGTGCCTCCTCCTAGCTTCGCCCCATCTTCCTCCTCCCCACTGAGTTCCTCCAGGGTTGAACTATGGAACTCCCCGCTGCAGTGGCGGCCAACCCATTTGGAAGGCTTTAAGAGAGGGATGGAGAAATTCATGGGGGAAAAGAGGCTTGCAATAGCTCTGCTCTGCCTCTCAGTCGCTCAGAGCTGGAGAGAGTTGCTGCTCCGCTCGGATCCCGCTTGCGGGTTCCCCATTGGGAGAGCAGGTCTCTGGACTAGATGGGCCCTTGGCCTGATCCTGCAGGCTCTTCTTATGGGTGGCTGGTGCCCCTTGGGAGGGGTAGTAAGAATACTAGTAACAAGTATATTTCACAATTTTTAAACAGGAAATCTATGATTAATAATAATAATAAAATTGTACTTATACCCCGCCCTTCCCGGTTCAGAAAACCGGGCTCAGGGCGGCTAACAACAAATTTAAAACACTTAATTGATGCAACAAAAAACAGCATAAAATACAGTATAAGACCTGGATAACAATAAATTCAGAATTCAAAAATCAATTGGGGGGGGGGGAATCCATCCAATAAACATGAGGTGATCACCAGGGCTAGCTGGCTAAATGAGTCCTATTTGGGCCAGCGAGGAGACCAGGGGAGAATTAGCTGTGGGATCCCAGAGCGGGTAATCTTCACAAAAAGGGGAGGGGGAGGGAAGGAAGGGGAATAAAAGATCAGGCTAAGTTCAAATTGAAAGCCAGGTGGAATAGCTCTGTCTTACAGGCCCTGCGGAAGGAAGTTAAATCCTGCAGGGCCCTGGTCTCCTGGGACAGAGCATTCCACCAGGTCGGAGCCATCACCGAGAAGGCCCTGGCCCTGGTGGAGGGTAGTCTGACTTCCTTAGGGCCCGGGACCCTATGATGGAGTCACAAATAGTACAATTCAATCAATTGCATGCGCCAAATTAAAACAAGTAGTCAAATAATATCACAGAGTCAAACAAGCCTTTCAACTGAAATTTCTGTTTAAAAATTGTGAAATATACTTGTTACTAATATTCTTATTAGCCGTGTGTTCCCTGTGATTGTTTAGAGTTTGTCTGTTTTTGCAACCCAGGGGATTTCCTTTGTTACACCTTGGGAGGGGTAGGGCGGGAGGCCAGGAGGCCAACAGCAGGGGGCACCAGAGCAGAGCCAAGCCATTATATCTTCATCTTCCTCAGGCCGTGCCACCCTCTGGACTGGCTGCCAAGGGGGCAGGGCAGGTGGGGACTGGCTGCATTCCAAGAGGGAGGTTGGCAGGACGGCTCCCCGGTTACTCTAATGGAGCAGCTTCCATTGAGTTGGCACAGAATGACGCTGAACCCTGGAAAATCCCAGGGAAACAAAAGCAGGGCAGATATCGACTGGCATCTTCCAGTGGTTTGCAGCAGCTGGTCATTGCAGCCTTCAGCTGAGGAGGACACAGCTTGGCCATCCTGGCTAGGAGCCCTCGACAGCCGTTGGCCATGCCAGGCTCTATCTGAAGCCGCTGCTCCCTCTCCAGCTCGGCTGTGTGGCACAGCCATCTTTGCCCAGGCCTGCCGTGGCACAGCAGGCAAGAAGCAAGACCTCTCTCGCGATGGAGCCAGGCAGAGTATAGAAGCATCTCCTCCGTGGCCGGACAAAGGGGATTCCTTAGGGATTCTTCAGCCATGATTCCTGCATTGTAGCGGGTTGGACTAGATGAGTCTTGGGGGTCCCTTCCAACACCACAGTTCTGTATTAAACAAAAATCTGGCCTTATTCCCTTATGGGGAACACAAGAGCCCGTATAGAGTTCTTTGTAGGTTCTCCATCGGTCAGAGAAAAGAACAGAGGCCAAGCAGAGAATATTGAGAAGCAAAGCAGCTAGCAAGCCTGATCTTTATTGAACTGTTGCAACAGGGTGCTCCCCTCACTCGCAGGAAAGGAGGAGAACCCAGAACAAAGGTGTGCCCCCCCCTTATATAGACATTTTAAATTGCCTGCCCTGGAGTCCAAGACCACCCCCAGATACATCATACTTACATCACAGAAAAGGTGGTCTACAACAAATCTGAGTGCACTGTTTACCTCCTGTCTGGCAGGTTACCTGTTAATGCTTACTTGATTGGATACCCTGGGGAGCCTGGCCAGTCTTTTGTAATGACAAATACTTAGTTCCTGAGCTAGGTCACAGGCTCACCGTATTCACACACAGACAGACATACCCTTAAAGCAGGATTTGTGAAGGAAAAGACAATGGGGAGGCTTTTCCATTTTCCTTCAACCTTGCAGAGAAATATTTGAGGTCAATTTTGGAGGGTCAAAATGATTTCAGGACTTTTTCTGTGGGGTTTCAGACATGTGGTTTATATATGCAGTTGTGAACATTTATCTTTTATATATAAGACCTTAAATTTTTTATTTCAGTTCTAATCTGCCTGGGAGGGTCTGGCATTGGTCTAGGTGCCTGATGGCCTCGTGGCGGGACAGAGAGAGGGGAGCAGTGCCCCCGAGCCCCTCTCAATTCTCCACTTCTCTCCTCAGGCCTATTTGGATCCACGCTGCCGCCTGAGCCTCCCGAGTGGAACGTCACAGGCAGCGCCGGGGAGCAACCTGGGGGCTCCTACCCGACCCCAGAGCAAGGTGAGAGCGTCAGAGAGGCAGGCGAGGGAAGATGGGAGGGGGAGTTGGTCCCAAGATGCTCACCTGAGCTCCAGGCTCCAAAGGATGGAGGGGCTCGCAGGAGCTTGGTCGATCCGGGGCCAGGATTGCTGCAGAACGAGGGCTGGCCCAGGGGTTAAGAACCTACGTAGAGCCTGCTGGATGAGGCCAATGGCCCACCTAGTCCAGCATCCTCTTCCCACAGTGGATGAATTGTTGCCTGTGGGAAACCCACCAGCAGGATCTGATCACGAGAGCAACTCTCCCCTCCTGAAATGGTTTTCAGAAGCACTGCCCCCTCCGGCTGTGGAGAGCAGAGCAGAGCCAAAATCTGACTCACAGCCAGAATCTTTCTAATCCCCTTTTCAAGCCATCCAGTTTGGTGGCCATCGCTGCCTCCTGCTGGAGGGAGTTCCATAGTTTAACGGATGTGAACTTTTAGAGCAGATCACTACAAGACATGTCTCTGAAAAAATTTACACATCACTTGGGAGGATAGGCGAACTAATGCCAGTGAAGACAGGCAAACTAATACCAGTGTAGTGGAAGAAGCAAAGATCACCAGTGTTGAAGCAATGATTCTTCAACATCAACTTCACTGGACTGGTCAAGCTGTGCGGATGCCTGATGATCGTCTTTCAAAGCAGCTACTCTATTCCGAACTTAAAAATGGAAAGCGTAATTCTGGTGGTCAACAAGAGGTTTAAAGACTCTCGAGACAAATCTAAAAAATGTAGTATAAACACCGGCAACTGGGAAAGACTGGCCTCTGAGTGCTCCAGTTGGAGAACAGCCTTGACCAAAGGCGTCATGGGCTTTGAAGACACTCGAACTCAGGATGCAAGGGAGAAACGTGCTAAGAGGAAGGCACGCTTGGCAAATCCACACCGTGATCAACTCCTGTCCAGAAACCAAGGTCCCCACTGTGGTAGGACGTGTGGGTCCAGAATTGGCCTCCACAGTTACTTACGGACTCACTGTTAAAACCGTGTTTACGGAAGAGAATCTTACTCGGCTACGAGGGATCGCCAAAGAAGAAGAAAAAGAACAGCAACAGCAGCAGCAACAATAACAACACACTGGAGCCCAGGAAGCCACAGACGCATGTTTAAATGAAACATAAACACTTTCCAACTTGAAGCCAAAATACTTTTATTCTCTAAACTCTACAAATATCTATCTCTCCCCTTCTCCTCCGCTGCCCCGCTGAGCCTCCCCAGCTGCTCTCTCCCATGGTGCAAGACTTGCCGGCATCGCTCACCTCCTCTGGACAGGCAGTGGCTTGACCAGGAAGCTCTCAATGTGCTCAAAAATGGTGTAGGGGTCCTGGTCCGCGTTCAGGAAGATGGCTTCCTCGTAGTAGTCCTCCAGCTCGGTCACCTGCCGGTTGTAGATGTCTGCCTTCTTCTCCACCAGGCTGGGAGCGTCCCTGGGGTTCCGCCGCAGGCGCTGGTGTACGTCCTCATCGGCCGGAGGCTTGAAGATGGTGTGGTACCTCTCCCCCGAGACGGGGTCAGTGGCCCGCTGGCAGATGCGCTGCAAGGCCACCTCGGTGGGCAGGTTGAGGAAGAAGACCCGGTTGGGCTCGAAGCCCGTGTGCTTGAAGAGGTCCGCCTGGTCCACGTCGCGGGGGAAGCCGTGCAGCACCCAGCCGTTGGTCAGGCAGTCCCGCTCCGACAGCCGGTCCTTGAGGACGCTCAGAGCGATGCTGTCTCTCACGGGGTAGCCGCTCTCAAAGAAGGGTTTGATGAGCTCACCCACCGCCGTCTTGGCCGCCACCTTCTCCCGCAGCAAGTCGCCAAAGAAGATGTTGACCAGCCCGTACTTCTGGGCCAGCAGAGCGGCCTGCAGGCTCTTGCCGCAGCCGGGTGGACCTAGGAGCAGCACTCGGGGGCTGAAGGGGGCGTCCGAGTGCGGGCGGCTCTGCACGAAATTCAGGACCTGGGCAAAGACGTCCACGCAGGGCTGGTCGGCGTTGATGGCCTTGTGGCACCCCTCGTACGCCTGGATGATGCCGGGCAGGTTGCGGTGGCTCTCCAGGAGGCGCCTGGCCGTGGCTGGTGCCGAAACGCCCTCCGGCCTCACCAGGCGCTTCTGGACGGCGAAGTCAACTGGCCAGTCGAAGGTGGTGTGGTAGACCTCCTGGGTGAGCGGGTCCAGCAGCTTGCCCAGGTTCCTCTCCATCAGAACGGTGTCCGGAGCGGAGAGGACCACCACGTGCCGGGGGGCGATGCCCGTGGACTGCAGCACCAGAGCCTGGCTCCTCGTCTCGGGGAAGCCGTCCAGCACCCAGCCCAGCTTGATGCAGTCCACGTCGTTCAAGCGCTCCTCCAGGAGGGCGGCCCACAGATCATTGGGGATCTGCTTCTTTTGATCCCGTAAGGCCATGGCCTCGCTGGATCTCTTGAGAAGCTTGCTGCGCATGAGGTCTTGGGGACAGAGGTAGGTGGCGCTCAGGTGCTTGCAGATCCAGCGGGAGATGGTCGTCTTCCCAGAGGCAGGAGGCCCCACAACGAAGATCTTGGGCACCTCGTCGTTGTCCCTCTTCAGGTGGGCGATCATGAAGTCGATGGGGTTCTCGGGCTGATACACCAGGAGGTCCTCCATCAGGCTCTGCATGAGCTGGAAGATGTTGTGTTTCTCGGCGTAGACGGCCATCGCCGGAGGGACTTGGTGGGGCTTGGTCGTGACGTCCATCTCTCCCTGCTGGCGCCACTGGAGCAGAAAGCGAGGTTCTCAAGCAGGTGTTGTGTTCCAAGGTCGCCCAGCAGCGACTGGTGACATCACCATCCATAATAGCGGAACACGGAATGACGTACAGCTCTCGGAGCGCAAAGCCATCCTGAGCGCAGCCTGGCCGCTGTTTTTATTGATTAGGACCGAGTAGCAATTAAAGCTATGGTTTTCCCAGTAGTGATGTATGGAAGTGAGAGCTGGATTATAAGGAAGGCTGGTCGCTGAAGAATTGATGCTTTTGAATTCTGGTGCTGGAGGAGACTCTTGAGAGTCCCATGGACTGCAAGAAGAACAAACATCCATTCTGAAGGAAATCAGCCCTGAGTGCTCACTGAAAGGACAGATCCTGAAGCTGAGGCTCCAAGACTTTGGCCACCTCATGAGAAGAGAAGACTCCCTGGAAAAGACCCTGATGTTGGGAAAGATGGAGGGCACAAGGAGAAGGGGACGACAGAGGACAAGATGGTGGGATAGTGTTCTCGAAGCTTCCAGCATGAGTTTGACCAAACTGCGGGAGGCAGTGGAAGACAGGAGGGCCTGGCGTGCTCTGGTCCAGGGGGTCACGAAGAGGCGGACACGACTAAACTACTAAACAACAACAGAGTAGCAATTTATCATACTTGCTGAGCACAGATGCCTGTTTAGTTTTTAGTTGCTGATATTCCCTGAGTTGTTTTCATTAAATAGATTTTGTTAAAGTCTTTTCATAATACAGTAAGAGAAATTCCTCTAAGTAAAAACAAAAGCAAGGAGAGAAAGAGAAAACACCAAAGGAAAACCCCCAAAATAGCAGAAGACAAAAGAGAAGAAGAGAAGAAAAATAAAAATGATTTTTCGTCTGTCAGTTACACAACAGAAATTGTTCAAGATATTCACTCTAGAATGGCACCCAACTGATCTATTTTCTAGTAGGCAATATTTACCCAAATGGATTGATTCATTTCCCTTTTTACACAAAAAGTCCAAAAGGGGTTCTGTTGTTGTTGTTGTTGAATGTCAGCAATACAGTCATACCTCGGGTTACAGACGCTTCAGGTTACACGTTTTTGGGATACGGACGTGTCAAAACCTGGAAGAACGGGTTACTTCCGGGTTTCAGCACTCACGCATGTGGAGAAACACTAAATTGCACTTTGCGCATGTGCAGAAGTGCTGAATTGCAACCCGCGCGTGTGCAGACGCACCACTGCGGGTTATGGACACTGCAGGTTGCGAACGTGCATCCCACACGGATCACGTTCGCAACCCGAGCGTCCACTCTAGTTTTTCTCTCCAGTAACTTCAACAACCATTCCTCCATATTAAACAGTAATAAATATTTCCATCTTTGTCCACACAAGACTCTGCATTTCCATTTCATGTTGTATTTGCCACAGTTTTCCATCTTGATTTTGGGAGGGAAAGGCTCTTCCATTAACGCTTCTCCCATTCTGTTTCCAAGAAAAGCTCCAGAGGCTTGAGAGCTTTCCTCACTAAATTCACTCCAAATTTTACACAGTCCTTTCTTTCTCAACTTTCTCTCTCTCTGCTGGCTCAGGGTGTCTTTTCATATAGCCATCCATGGAACACCTGTGTGAAGGACTTCTAAAAAAATAAGAAACCCGGGAGCTGTAGTTTGCTAAGGTTGCTGGGAACTGGAAGTCCTGCAAGGGATAGACTACAGTTCCCATGATTCTTGGGATATAACAAAGCTATAACAAAGGCGGCATTTTTTCATCTCCGCCAAGCTAAGCAGTTGGCTCCTTACCTCTCTCGCCCTGACCTAGCCACTGTGATCCACGCGACGGTCACCTCCAGACTGGATTATTGTAACTCGCTCTACATGGGGCTGCCCTTGAGACTGACCCAGAAACTCCAGCGGGTGCAGAATGCCGCGGCGAGACTCCTTATGGGGTCCTCGCTGCGAGATCATATCCATCCGGTGCTATACCAGCTGCACTGGCTCCCGGTGGAGTACAGGATCAGGTTTAAGGTGCTGGTTTTGACCTTTAAAGCCCTATACAGCCTAGGACCCTCGTTCCTACAGGACCTCCTCTCCTGGCATGTCCCACAGAGGACCTTACAGTATTCAAACAAAAACATCTTGGAGGTCCCAGGCCACAGGGAGATTAGGCTGGCCTCAACCAGAGCCAGGGCTTTATCAGCAGTGGCCCCGATCTGGTGGAACACTCTGTCCCAAGAGACTTGGGCCCTGCGGGACTTGACATCTTTCCGCAGGGCCTGCAAGATGGAGCTGTTCCACGTGCCTTTGGCCAAGGCACAGTCTGACCCCTTCCTTTGGTAATCCTCACAGAAATCTAGCCCAATGGTTGCCACTAATTTGATTTGAACTGATTTTATAATAAATTGATTTTAGAATGTTGTTACTTTACTGTTGTTAGCCGCTCTGAGCCCAGCTTCGGCTGGGGAGGGTGGGATATAAATAAAATTTATTATTATTATTATTATTATTATTATTATTATTATTATTATGGATGTGCTTTAAAGAGATGATATTTGTTGTTGGTCCAGGAAGAGCAGGAGCCTGGAGCTCAGTGAGCAGGACTGAGAACGGGGTGTTTGCTCTGGCTTCCTGTGTGCTTAGGAGAGGCCCAGGGCCTCTGCAAACAGCACCCGGCGGGGGCCTCTGTTGCTCCAGGCGAGGCATCCCACCTCCTGGCTGACCTCCCATCTCAGCTCCCTTGAAAAGGGCTGCATTGCAGGAGACTTTGTGCAAATATCAGAAGTATCCCAGGACCACTGATTCAGGGGGTCAGCCATGCCCTCTTCTGCCAGGTCGGTTGGGGTGGATTTACTCAGTCCGCAGAGGGGCTGATTCTCCAGTTGTCCTTGCCCACCTGCAATAGCTCCCCCCCCCCCCATGTTTCAGGCCAAATGGGAATCCTTTCTTCCTGTCTGAATTCCTTCCCAATAATCCTTCCCTTTGAGCCCTTAAAGGGTCTCTTCAAATGCAAATCTTCAAAACAAGCCATCATTATAGAAGAAGCAAAGATGACCAGTGTCGAAGCAATGATTCTTGCAACATCAACTTCGTTGGACTGGTCATGTTGGGCGGATGCCTGATTGTCGTCTTCCAAAGCAGCTACTCTACTCTGAACTTAAAAATGGAAAGCGTAATGCTGGTGGTCAACAAAAGAGGTTTAAAGACTCTCTCAAGGCAAATCTAAAAATATATATGTATAAACACTGACTGGCCTGCGAGCGCTCCAGTTGGAGAGCAGCCTTCAACAAAGGTGTCATGGGCTTTGAAGATGCTCGAACTCAGGACGCAAGGGAGAAACGTGCTAAGAGGAAGGCACACTTGGCAAATCCACACTGGGATCAACTCCCACCCGGAAACCATTGTCCCCACTGTGGAAGGACATGTGGATCCAGAACTGGCCCCCATAGTCACTTACGGACTCACTGTTAAGATAGGGTTACCAGACGTTCCCAGTTCCCGGGGAGAATCCTTGGATTTGCAAATCTGTCCCCGGACAAATTCCGTCCCCAGAATGTCCCCAGATCTGCAAATCTGTCCCCGGGAAATGTGGCAATGGCAGCCTCAGCAGCCCGGAGCCAGCCTGGTAGCACAGTTGGCTCTGGCTGGCTCCAGGAGCTGCTCGCTGCCGTGGCGCCTGCCATTTTTCCTCACCGAAAGTCCCCATATGATGTGTCTTGTATGCAACACATCCTGTGGGGACGTCTGGCAAGGAAAAATGGTGGCCGCCTGAGCAGTGAGCAGCTCTTGAACCCAGCCAGAGCCAACTGTGTTCCCAGGCTGGCTCTGGGCTGCTGACTGCCGCTGCCGCCGCTGCCAAAGGGGAACTGGGGACGTCCGGTGGTTCTGATCTCCTGCCCCCTTCCCCTTTTGTTTTGACTGATCATAGGAGGCACAGGAGGTGCAGCCAGCCGCCCGTTGCCCAGTTTTTTTAAAAAACTGCACATTTATGTTTCACAGGGGTGCGAAAGAAGGGCTTTGCACCTTGCCTGGCAAAGAGACTGCACGCCTTGCGCCCCTCCTGGGCAACAGGCGCCCGCCCACGACTCCCGAGTCTCTCCCGATCTGTCAAAACAAAGGGGGAAGGGGGCAGATCATTGGGGAAAGCTTGGGATATGCATGTGTGCTTGGGCCCAGGGTCTTTTGCCTCTCCATCCCCACTCCTGACTCCCTGTTTCTACTCAGCTTCAAAAAAAAAAAGTGTCCCCAGATTCATCATAACCATAGGTTAAGAGCATGTTCATGGAAGACCATCTTCCTCGGCTACGAGGCATCGCAGAACAAGGAGGAGGAGGAGGAGGAGGAGGAGAAGAAGAAGAAGAGGAGGAGGAGGAAGAAGAAGAAGAAGAAGAGAAGAAGAAGAAGAAGAAGAAGAAGAAGAGGAGGAGGAGGAGGAGGAGGAGGAGGAGGAGGAGGAAGAAGAAGAAGAAGAAGAAGAAGAAGAAGAAGAAGAAGAAGAAGAAGAAGAAGAAGAGGAGGAGGAGGAGGAGGAGGAGGAGAAGAGAAGAAGAAGAAGAAGAAGAAGAAGAAGAAGAAGAAGAAGAAGAAGAAGAAGAAGAAGAAGAAGAAGCTGCCAGCTGCCAGCTGCCTCTGTGCCCTTGGAAAGAGAGGCATGAAAAGCAAGGAGGGGCAATATTTTTCAGAGGTGCGCAGGGAGGGAGTCCCAGAGAGCACAATCTTCCTCTGGGACTTGGGCAGCAGTTTTACACCTTCGGCACTTACCTGATTCTGTCTTATACATCTTAACAAGTCTACTTGGAGTTAAATACCATCTATGAATCATTTTCAGGTAGTTCTCCTCCAAAGAATAACATGCTGTAAATTTCAAGTCACTTTTCCAGAGTTTTCCCCAGAGGTTAAAATCTGTATTGTGTCCTATATCTATTGCCCAGTGTGTCACTGAGGCTTTCACAAGCTCGGCTTTTGCTTCCCAACCTAATAACAGATTGTACATTGTAGACAAAAGTTTTTATTTGTTTTGCAGAAGCTCTTTTTCAAATTGTAAGCTTTGGTCCAAAAAACCATTTTTCCTATCTATTTTAAACATTTCATGTAACTGGTGAGATTGTAACAAATCCATAACATGGCTCCTTACATTTTCCATTGATTTCAGTTTGCCCCCCCCCCCCATAAAATGCAGCAATTCCTTGTAAGTCGCCCATGGTTATCCATATTAACTCTCTTAATAGTAATGGCCTCGATAGGAGATAGCCATAAAGGTGTTTTCCTTTCCAGTAGATCTTTATATTTCTCCCGAACTTTATACAGATTCTTCCTAAGGATATGGATCATAAAACCTTTTATAAATTTTTGGCTTCCCATACCAAAGACATTCATGCCAGCCGAATTTAAAAGAATGACCTTCAAAGTCCAGGATGTCTGCATTATCCAATATAGTCCACTCTTTTAACTAACACAAAACAGGCTGTCTCATAATACATTTGCAGGTGTGGCAGTTTCCTTCCATCCTTTGGGAGGGATCCAAGATGGGGCTTTCAGGGACTCACTCCCAGTGAAAAAACCAACCTCTCAGTCTGCCCCCTTTTCTCCTTCTCCCCCCATAGGTTCCGAATCCAGCAGCCTCTCCGCATCTCCGGGCAGCGAAGGGGCTTTTGTGGCTCTGCCAGGCTGCCCACCTGACCTCCTGAATGACTGTGGTTCACCGCTGCCCGACCCTGGCTCACCCCCGGCCTCCTCGCTGCTCTCGCCGGCCCTGCCCCTCTTCGTGCCGCTGCATGCCGACTGGGATGTGGCCCTGGCAGAGTGGGGCCTGGCCTGGGAGGCTCATGTCTATGGGGCAGGCTCCCTCTTTGCCCTCCTGGCCCTCCTCTCCCTGCTGGGCCTGCTAGCCCTCCCTTGCCGCTGCCCTGCCGGCTGCAAGACCCTGGCGCTGCTGCAGCTGCTGCTGCTGGGGGCTGGCGGTGGGCGAGCCGCCCTCCTCCTGGGCGACGCCTGCGGGCACCTCGAGCTGCTGCCCGCCTTTGCCCTGCGGCTGCTCCACGACCTGGCACTACCCTGCCTGACCTCGGCCCTGGCTGCCACCCTGCTGCTGCTTTCGCGCCGCGCCCGCCTGGAGCACTCCTCGCCCTCCAGCCTGCGCCACCCCTGCCTGCTGGCCGCCCTGGTCCTGCTGCACTTCTCAGTGGCCACGGGGGCCGTTTTGGCCACCGACCTCCTCCACCAGCTGCCCTTCCTGCTCCTGGCTTCGCGGGGCGCCTTCGCCCTCCTGGCTGCCCTGCTCTCCGTCTCCTTCCTCATCTTCCACTGCAGGGCGCGAGCCGACGCCGCACAGATCTACGACCTCAAGAGCGCCACGCAGCCAGCCTGCCGCTGCCCCTTCGCCGACACCCGCCAGTGGAGGCAAGCTGCCCACACCGCCCTCCCGGCCGCCTTCTTTGGGCTGCTGAGCGCCAGCCTGCACACCTACGCCATCCTGCATGCCCTGGGCTACGGCCTGCGCCCCCAGCTCTTTGGGCCCTGGCCCTGGTGGGGGCTGCAGCTGGCCTGCCGCATCTGCGAGGCGGGCATGGGGCTGCCCTTGGCCTTCCTGGGGCTGTACGCCACCTTCTGCTCCTCTCCGGCCGGCGGGCCGCCCTGCTGCGCCCGCTGCTGCTGCCTCTCTGCGGACCCCGCTGCTGCCAAGGCCCAGCTCCTGCCCAACAACTTCCAGTGGGCATTGTCGCAGCACGAGAAGCTGGTGGTCTGCGACACCATCGCCCGCAGCGAGTCTGACTACCTCCCGCTCTACGCCCTGCCAGCCAGGGAGGCCGATGACACCAAAGCCGTCTCCGTGCTCAGCGTGGCTGTGGAGGCTGGCGACCCCACGGCCGATTTCCAGCCCCCCTCGCCCATCGACCTCCGGCGCAGCATCGACGAAGCTCTCTGCAGCGAGGGGCTCTTCCTCCAGGACGGGGGCTCTCCCTATGCCCCCTCCAGCACCCTGTCGCTCAGCCTGGCCTGGGATCGGTCTGCAGAGAGCGAGCTCTACCGCACGGCCTCCTGCCTGGAGCTGGTGCCTGCCCGGTCCTGGGGGGCCAGCGGAGCCACCACCGCCGCCTCCTCGTCCCCGGAGCCTTGGGGGGGCGGCGAGGGCGGCAGCAGCACCTGCTCCACCTGCCCCTACAGACACTCCACGGACGACACCTCTCTCGTGCTCAGCTCCAGCCCCGGGAAAAGCCCCCCGCGGGTCTCGCCGGCCTGCGGGAGCCCCCCGCCTCCGGGCCGCCAGAGCTGGCCCCAGGCTCCCGTCTCCCAAGAATCCCTGGTGTCGTCGTCTTCGGGGCCCCGGGGGCCACACGCAGCCCTCCTGCAGGAGGAGTTCATGGACGTGTGCCGCCAAATCGATGCCCTCAGCGTCAGCAGTGACACCATAGACTTGTAGGCGTGCCTGGGCGGAGGGAGGGGAGGCTGACCTTTGACCCCCCCAAAAAGGCACGTGCAATTCTCAGCGGGAGCTGCAGTGGGGCAGGTGCCTTGCCACTCTCCCCCCCCAGTCACCGACTTTGCATGGGTCAGGAATCGTGGTCCGGCTGAGCATGGGGGGGCTGCTCTTGTCTGCTCTGCTCCCCCCAACCCCAAGGGAAAGGAAAGACAAACGGACATCCCTGCTGGGGCACAGCCATATGCAATGCCCCCCCGCTCCCCCCAACCTGTGTCCTCCTCTGGTCTGCTGAGGCCTCAGTGTTAGAGAAGAGCCTGCCCCACATTCCCCCCTCTCCGGACTTACTTTCCCATCCCCTAAGGGTGGGGGCTGCCCTCCAGCAAGAGTTTGTTCCCTTTAGTAGTGATGAAAGAGGATGTCTTGCCTTGTTCCGTGGTGTCGTCGACTAAGAAGCAAAGGAAGCAGGTGAGGAACCCCCCCCCTCCTCACCAGGGCTGGGGGAGGGAGCAGGGAAAGCGAGAAAGAGAGTTTTAACCTTTATTTATCAATAAAAGAGTTTTATGGAGACACGTGTCTGGGTTTCCTCTTTGGGAAGCGCAGCGGAGATTCACCTGCGAGTTCTGCGTTGCAAAGGGTTGGGATGGATGACCCTGTGGGCCCCACCCGACGCTACGGGACTGTGGTTCTGTGCCGCCTGGTCCCCCACTGCCACCCCTCTGAAAGCAAACAGAGGGAGCTGCCTTATGCTGAGCCAGACCTTTGGGCCTGCCTAGCTTGGTTCTTCCCGCACTGACAGGCAGAGGCTGCCCAGGGTTTTGCTCCAGCCCTGCTTGGAGCCAGAGTCGCACCTAGGCTCCCTTGCCCCCTTGAGAAGGAGCTGTGTCAGCACCTCCAGAGGCAGGAGAGACCATGGACCAGAAACCCCAAAAAGTTTGCTTTCCATCCCCTTTGTTATGACCGCCCACACACTTCCACTGCGCTTTTCTGCTTGTGTGGTGTCACCTCGGCAAAACCACTTCTGACTGCTTGTAGCAGAGTTTTCCCCGGAGGCAGAGGACAAGAACAGGAGACATTCTCAAATTCACAGTCAAGAGCTTCTTCGTTGCTTGACTGGCTGCACAAGCATTTCTGTACCTATTATATACAAGCTATTTACATTCCTTCTCTATCTCTCCAGCACGGTATACTCTCAGTCCAGCAATTAACAATCCTGACACAGCAAAACTCACAGTATCAGCAGCACACGTTGTCTTACTTCCAACCTTGTTGTCAGCGTGTGTGCTGACAGTGTGTGTGTGTGTGTGTGTGTGTGTGTGTGTGTGTGTGTGTGTGCTTTCCTTGTGGGGAAATTGCAGCCTGCAACTTCCTTTATTTGCACCTCCAGCTGACAACCAATCTAATCTCGAGTGCCACTCCTACACACTAAAGAAAACTCTGGAACCCTCTTGAAAGCTTCCAGGAAGTTTTATCTGTTTCTCAAAGAATGTTTTCACCACATTTGTGACTTCAGCCATGGACATCAAAATGGGCTCTGCTCCTTCTTCTCTTCTTCTTCCTCCTCCTCTGGTCCCTCGGTCTGCCAGCCGATTTCCGTTCTGTCCTCCCTTCCTTTTCCCTCCTCTTGCAAGTCCCTCCCCTCCCAAGAACCTCTCCATTTTTCTTCCTATTATTATTATTATTATTATTATTATTATTATTATTATTATTATTTTGTACCCCAGCCACTCAGGGCGGCTTCCAACAAAGACTAAAAATACTTTAAAATGTCACACATTAAAAACTTCCCTAAACAGGGCTGCCTTCAGATGTCTTCTAAATGTCAGATAGTTGTTTATTTCCTTGACATCTGATGGGAGGCTGTTCCACAGGGCAGGTGCCACCACCGAGAAGGCCCTGTGCCTGGTTCCCTGTAGCATTACTTCTCGCAGGGAGGGAACTGCCAGAAGACCCTTGGAGCTGGACCTCAGTGGCCAGGGTGGACGATGGGGTGGAGACGCTCCTTCAGGGATACAGGACCGAGGCCATTTAGGGCCCCACTGGGGAGGGGGCCCTGCAGAGCTGTTGTGACGGCCCACACAAGTGACTAGATTCCTCCACAGAGGTGCCCAGAGGAGCCTGCACACCTCTCGCGGCCACCCAGGACAGTCCCAGGAGTGCACAGATAGGCGGACAGGCTCCTAGCCTCACCCCAAAAAATGCCAAAGAGGAAAATAGGATGTGCATCTTTCAGGGATATGCTCCCGTGTGAGTCACATGGCTTGCACAAGAGGGCGTCCCCCCAGATGGGGACCACACTCTTATCACAGGAGCCGGGTGACTCGTGTAAGAGCACGCTCTCCCCCCAAAAAACGGGCATCTTTTGGGGTCGTGCTCTTGTGGGAACATCCTGGGATCCAACCGGAAGCTGGAATGGCTTCTGTAATTCTGGGATGTCCCACTTGAAGTGGAACAGTTGAAGGGTACGGCCACTACGAGCCTGACTAGAGAGGTGCGGATTTCACACATGCACCCTGGGCCTGCTGTGGACGCCCAGCTGTCCATGGAGGCACAGGTCAGTTCTGTGTCCAGGACAAATGTCTACCAGCTCCATCTGGTACGCAGGAGGAGACCCCACCTGCCCACAGACTGTCTCGCCAGAGTGGTGCATGCTCTGGTTATCTCCTGCTTGGACTACTGCAATGCGCTCTACGTGGGGCTACCTTGGAAGGTGACCTGGAAACTGCAACTAATCCAGAATGCATCTGAAGGAGGGTCTCCTCCCCCATCGTTCTGCCCGGACACTGAGGTCCAGCTCCGAGGGTCTTCTGGCGGTTCCCTCCCTGCGAGAAGCCAAGTTACAGGGAACCAGGCAGAGGGCCTTCTCGGTGGTGGCGCCAGCCCTGTGGAACGCCCCCCCCCCCACCAAATGTCAAGGAGAAAAATAACTACCAAACTTTTAGAAGACATCTGAAGGCAGCCCTCTTTAGGGAAGCTTTTAATGTTTAATAGGTTATTGTATTTTACTGTTTTGTTGGAAGCCACCCTGAGTGACTGGGGAAACCCAGCCAGATGGGCAGGGTATAAATAATAAAACTAGCCTAGTTATGCCTCTGCCAGGAGCCCACAGGAACTGAACCCACGACTTTTAGCACAGAACGCAGTCTCTCTGACGCTGTCTCTCTGCCACCACTGCCTCCCCTGTGTGGAACCAGGAGGCATTGCAGAGGGAGGGTCTAGATGACCCCCAGGGTCCCTTCCAAGGCTGCTGCTCTCTGTATCTAAGTAAAGTGGTCCTCTCTGAGTTGTGGCTTCCCAGCCTGCCTGCCCCTTCCTGCAGTTCAGCTGTGCCAAACCCTTTCTGGGGGTCCCTGCCCTGCTCCCTGTAAACAGACCCCCCTTCGCTCCCCCTCGCCTGCCTCTCCTCCCTCCAGGGCACACACAGCTCCAGACAGTATGACTGACACCCATCGATCTCTCTCTGCACACCCAGCTTTCTCTCTCTCTCTCTTTTCGCAACATAACTTTTTATTACATTCTTCCAATCCTTTTCACAGTAGTCTACATCCCAAATAACTACATTGCTTCATAAATTGACCTCCGCAGTGTATTCTACCCAAACCCTTTCTACCGCATTTTATCTTTATCCAGTGCAAAAGGTGTCTCCATTTACCATTATCTTAACATTTTTCTTCCCCTGCCTTCATCATGAATCCTGTTCATGAAATTTCATTTGACTAGAGTGTGTCCACAAAAGGCCTTCTTCTATCAAAAGCGGATCATTCTGATCTCTCCATTTCGCTGCCAGCCTCGCCATTTCTGCACAGTCCAGGGCACACACACGGCTCCAGCTGGTGTGACTGGCGCCCATCGATCTCTCGCTGCACACCCGGCTTTTCCACTCTGGGTCAGTCAGGTGCAAGAAAGGCCTCTTTTCTCCAGGCTGCAGAGAACTGGGTTGCTCTGCCTGCCTGCATTGCATGGCGAGTGAAATTGGGGCCGAGCCGTGTGGCTGCTCCCTGACCCTGCGTCCAGACAGTTGGATAAGCTCAGGGCAGAGCTGAGCTCCTTCTAAAGAAGGGAGGGAGCATGTGCAGAAGGCCTTTTGCAAGAAGAACAGAAGCTGCCTTTGTTGTTGTTTAGTCGTGTCCGACTCTTCGTGACCCCCTGGACCAGAGCACGCCAGGCCCTCCTGTCTTCCACTGCCTCCCGCAGTTTGGTCAAACTCATGCTGGTCTCTTCGAGAACACTGTCCAACCATCTCGTCCTCTGTCATCCCCTTCTCCTTGTGCCCTCCATCTTTCCCAACATCAGGGTCTTTTCCAGGGAGTCTTCTCTTCTCATGAGGTGGCCAAAGTCTTGGAGCCTCAGCTTCAGGATCTGTCCTTCCAGTGAGCACTCAGGGCTGGTTTCCTTCAAAATGGAGAGGCTGGATCTTCTTGCAGTCCATGGGACTCTCAAGAAGAATTTGGACTTGATATCCCACCTTTCACTCCCTTTAAAGGTAAAGGTACCCCTGCCCGTATGGGCCAGTCTTGACAGACTCTAGGGTTGTGCGCTCATCTCACTCTATAGGCCAGGGGCCAGCGCTGTCCGCAGACACTTCCGGGTCACGTGGCCAGCGTGACAAGCTGCATCTGGCGAGCCAGCGCAGCACACGGAACGCCGTTTACCTTCCCGCTGGTAAGCGGTCCCTATTTATCTACTTGCACCCGGGGGTGCTTTCGAACTGCTAGGTTGGCAGGCGCTGGGACCGAGCAACGGGAGCGCACCCCGCCGCGGGGATTCGAACCGCCGACCTGACGATCGGCAAGTCCTAGGCACTGAGGTTTTACCCACAGTGCCACCCGCGTCCCACTTCACTCCCTTTAAGGAGTCTCAAAGCGGCTAACATTCTCCTTTCCCTTCCTCCCCCACAACAAACACTCTGTGAGGTGAGTGGGGCTGAGAGACTTCAAAGAAGTGTGACTGGCCCAAGGTCACCCAGCAGCTGCATGTGGAGGAGCGGAGACGTGAACCCGGTTCCCCAGATTACGAGACTACCGCTCTTAACCACTACACCACACTGGCTCTCCTCCAGCACCAGAATTCAAAAGCATCAATTTTTCAGCAATCAGCCTTCTTTATGGTCCAGCTCTCACTTCCATACATCACCACTCGGAAAACCATAGCTTGACCTATAGGGACCTTTGTTGGAAAGGTGATGTCTCTGCTTTTCAAGATGCTGTCTAGGTTTGTCATTGCTTTTCTCCCAAGAAGCAGGTGTCTTTTAATTTTGTGACTGCTCATACTGGCTCAAATCACCTAGTTCAAGACTGCCTGCACTGACTGGCAGCAGCTCGCTTGGGTTTAACGAAGGGGAAACTCCTGGCCATGCCTGGAGGTGCTGGGAATTGAACCCAGAATCTTCTGCATGCAATGCTCTACCCACTGAGTGATGGACTCCCTGTCCTGCCAGTCAGAGCCGTCTTTCCCATAGGGCTTACTGGCGCTTTGCACCAGGGCGCCTGCCTCTCAGGGGCGCCCCAGCCAGTGGGGGAGCTGCGCGGCTTTGCCGGCTGCCTCCCCTTTCCCTGCATGCTCGCCAGCTGTGCCCCGTCAACCATATGCGGATGATACGGATGATACCCAGCTCGACCTCTCTTTCAAATCAGAACCAGTGAAGGCGGTGCAGGACTTGCCCTCCCCAGAGCCCTTGGGCTGCCACAGAAGCTCTCCTTCCATACCACACTCACTGCTTGGTGCAAATGTTTTGGTTTTGGAGACAGAGAGGACCATAAATCTCAGCTCCAAAGGCAGAGATGGCTTAAGACAGAGCTGTTCCACCAGGCCTTTGGTCAGGGCGCAGCCTGACCTGACCCCCTCCTCTGGCAATCGGCAATATGCACAGAATTTGGCTTGATGGTTGCCATTAATTTGATTTTAATTTAATTTGATTTAATTAATTTTATAATGAATGTTTTAGAATGTCGGATTATTTTGATTGTTGTTAGCCGCCCTGAGCCCAGCTTCGGCTGGGGAGGGCGGGATATAAATAAAATTTATTATTATTATTATTATTATTAAGAGAGGATTAGACACATTTCTGAAGTATAAAAGCTATTGAAGGCTCCTTCTTCTTCTTTGGCGATCAATTGTAGCCGAGGAAGATTGTCTTCCATAAACACGGTTTGAACAATGAGTCCGTAAGTGACTGTGGAGGCCAATTCTGGACCCACACGTCCTTCCACACTGGGGACATTGGTTTCCAGGCGGGACTTGACCCCGGTGTGGATTTGCCAAACGTGCCTTCTTCTTAGCATGAAACAAAATAAAAACATTCCTTCCAGTAGCACCTTAGAGACCAACTAAGTTTCTTACTGGTATGAGCTTTTGTGTGCATGCACACTTCTTCAGATACTGTGGTACCTCAGGTTACAGATGCTTCAGGTTACAAATGCTTCAGGTTACAGACTCCGCTAACCCAGAAATAGTACCTCGGGTTAAGAACTTTGCTTCAGGATGAGAACAGAAATTGTCCTCCGGTGGCACGGCGGCAGCGGGAGGCCCCATTAGCTAAAGTGGTACCTCAGGTTAAGAACAGTTTCAGGTTAAGAATGGACCTCCAGAATGAATTAAGTTCTTAACCTGAGGTACCACTGTACTATGAAAGCTCATACCAATAACAAACTTAGTTGGTCTCTAAGGTGCTACTGGAAGGAATTTTTTTATTTTGACTATGGCAGACCAACACGGCTACCTACCTGTAACTTCCTCTTAGCACGTTTCTCCCTTTCATCCTGAGTTCAAACGTCTTCAAAGCCCAGGACACCTTTGGTCAAGGCTGTTCTCCAATTGGAGCACTTGCAGGCCAGTTCTTCCCAGTTGCCAGTGTTCATGCTACATTTTTTAAAATTTGCCTTGAGAGAATCTTTAAACCTCTTTTGTTGACCACCAGCATTATGCTTTGCATTTTTAAGTTCAGAATAGAGTAGTTGCTTTGGAAGATGATAATCAGGTGTCCACACAACATGGCCATGACCACAACATGAAGGCTCCAAGGCTGGATGAAGAAGAAGAAGAGTTTGGATTTGATATCCCGCTTTATCGCTACCCGAAGGAGTCTCAAAGCGGCTAACATTCTCCTTTCCCACCCACCCAAACTACATTGCTAATACTGTACATGGTTACATCATGAAAGGGGAGGTCTGGTGGCAGTAATCTGAGCATCATGGACCCTGCCCCATGGTTCCGCTTGCCCAACACCAAACACCCATCAAGTGTCACAAAAGAGATACCGGTACTTACATTTCCTTGTTTCCCAGCCAAGTTGATCACACCCTTTTGTCTTCATCTGGGTTTGTTATTTCTGGCATGGCTACCTGTCTGGCACTCAGGTATCAGGATGCCAGGGATTATCACGCAGACAGAGGGGCTGCTGAGTAGCTGAGCTCACATGTCTGCCCAGGATTTCTGAAGTTTTCCCAGTGAGCCAGTACACAGAGACATTTATCACTGAATTCTTACATTTGGTATTGTGCAGCAGAGGCCCTTGGAATAGATAGGAAGAAACTGTGACCAAGTGTTTTGTGGTGCCGGTAACAGTGGGGACAAGTCACAAAAGTGATTGTGCTGGTTTTGGTAGTGGGCTGCATGTGCATGAGATCTGCTGGAGGGGCAACCCCCCCCCCCACCTATATCAATTCCTGCAACCACTGGTGGCCTCCCTGCCTCCTCCAGCTCCTCGCTCTTTAGGAAGATTCACATGAGGGGCGAAGGGGAAAAGATCTGCACCGGGATTTGCTGCCCCTGTGGATCCTGCCGCCTGTGGCACTCACATTGCTTCATGGGTGGGCTATCCTAGGGCAGTGTTTGTTTTTCTGTTTGTTTATTAAATTTGCATACAGCCCTTCACCCGTACATCTCAGGGCGGTTCATTGCATAACATTACAATATATTTAAAAACAAAAACAAAATACATAGTAAAAAATAAGAACAAAAGGAGCATTCCTGCCCGAATTCCTAAGCTGGCTCAGCTGGCTGCCCGCTAGCAGCTCCCGCGCCAAGAAAAAGGGGAAGAGGCGGCGGCCGCTGCATCGGTTGAATTTCGGTCTGTGGCCGATCCCCGGGGAGGTGGGTAGGGGGCCGGCCCGCGGCGAGGCGGAAGCTGCCCAGGCTGCTGCCCGAGCCTATTTCGGAGGCGCACGGAGCCCAGCCGGACCGAGGCGGGGAGGCGGCCGCTCGGCGGGGCGAGGCTAGCGGAGCTCCGGGCCGGAGGCGGCGGCGAGTCCGAGGCGGCCGGGGAAGGCGAGGGGTCGTCGGCGGAATCCCTGCGCGGCGCTCCGCTTCTCCTCTCCGCGCATTGCGCCCCCTCTCCAAAGACGCGCGACCCGTCCAAAGATTCCCTCCTTCCCCAGGGGCAGGGGGGTTGTTTCCCCTCTTCCGAGTCTCCCTCCCCGTTGGCTCGAGACCCGCTGATCCTTGCAAAGGGGAAGCCACTCTGCACGTGCTCAGGGGCGCTCTGGAGCCGGGCGAAGGAAGGTGCGCGCCGAGGAGACGCGGCTGAGCCCGGCACCTCGCTCAACCCTCCCCAGGCAGGACCAGCGGGACAGCCGCACCCCCGGGAGGCATGCGGATGTGAAGTGGTAAGAATTGTCGAGTTGGACGGGACCCCGGGGGTCATCTAGCCCAACCCGCTGCGATCGCCGCTCGGGCATCCCTGGCAGAGAAGCCCCGCAAGCTCTGCTCCCAGTTCCCCTCCCGGGAGCCAGAGAACAGATGCGCTCGGGCGGTTGCAGCGCCATCCCCGGTAGGGGCGGAGGGGCTGGTACTTGGGGCGGGGTGGTTGGCAGGAGCCCGGCCAGCGCTGCAGGGCCACGCGGAAAGTGGGTCACCGATGCTCAGGTGGCTCCGCGGGGGTGGCCGGCCGCTCTCCGCCATGGCGCGCCTTGCGTAAAAGCAGGAGAGCCCGGCTCCTTCCACCCAGCGAACAAGCCCGGGGCTGCTTCTACCTGGGGAGAAGACGGTCCCACTTGGGGGACCTCAAATACCCTCCTCTCCCCAGTACCCCCCCAGACTGACCCAGAGGAGCCTCTTGGGTTCACCCAGTTTCCCTAGAGCTGCTCGGAGGGGGGAGCTTAAGGGAGATTTTTTGGGGGGGGGGAAACGCGGTGCAGAGGCTCCTGGAAGAATGTTTGAGCGGCCCAGAGGGAGGGAAAGGAAGGCCCAGCCGTCTGGAGAGGGGCACGCTGGGGGCAGGGGGCTGGCTCCGTGTCACGTGCAACAGCCTGCCCCCTCCCGCTCCCCCACTGTTTTTGCAGAGAGGAAGCTCACAGCTCAAGCCCCCCCCCCCCCAGCCCTACCTGCGGATCTCAGGTGTGTGTTGGGGTGGAGGAGGTGGGGCTGGCTGTGCTTACCTGGCAGTGCAAATTGGTTGTACTTAATTGGGGGCCGGGGTGGGGGGTGCTGGCCTGGCATGCGCTATCTGGGGACCATAGAACTGCAGCTGGAAGGGAACCCCAAGAGTCATCTAGTCCAACCCTACGCAGTGCAGGAAGCACAGCTAAAGGATCCTGGACAGGTGGCCACCTGAGCTCTACTTAAAAACCTCCAGGGAGAGCCCACCACCTTCTGAGGGAGAGACTGCTCCACTGGCAAGCAGCTCTCGCCATCAGGAGATTCTTGAGGCAGAATCTCCTTTCTTGTAATTTGAAGAACTGACGGACGGTCTCAGAGCAAAGCATCTGCAGGAACTATCCTACTTAAAAATAGCAGAGGTCACCTTTGGGACCTGAGCTGGGCTTATGCATTGATACTATGCGTGTACACATTGGAGAGAGGAGGAGAAGGAGAACGGCTCTGTTCCTCCAGAATCAATAAACAGGGGAATGATAGCTTCAGGAGCTTCATTTAGGGGAGAGAAAATATGAGTTATCTGAAGGCCTTTGTAGCACACATTCCACCAGTAAATCCACAGCAAACCCCCTTCTTAGAATGACAGGCAGCAGTCAAAACTGCAAGGCACTCGATCTGAAAGCTGCAGTCCTCGCAGGATACTGCAGCACGATTGCTGACAAGAGCAAGGCCTTGTCAGCGCAGAATAATGGACTTGTAGAGTTGGAAGGATTCTGGTGCTGGGGGAGACTCTGGAGAGTCCCATGGACTGCAAGAAGATCAAACCTCTCCATTCTGAAGGAAATCAGCCCTGAGTGCTCACTGGAAGGACAGATCCTGAAGCTGAGGCTCCAAGACTGTGGCCACCTCATGAGAAGAGAAGACTCCCTGGAAAAGACCCTGATGTTGGGAAAGATGGAGGGCACAAGGAGAAGGGAACGACAGAGGACGAGATGGTTGGACAGCATTCTGGAAGCTACCAGCCTGAGTTTGACCAAACTGCGGGAGGCAGTGGAAGACAGGAGGGCCTGGCGTGCTTTGGTCGAGGGGGTCACGAAGAGGCGGACACGACTAAACGACTCAACAACAACAACAAGAGTTGGAAGGGACCAGGCTTCCTCAACCTTGGCCCTCCAGATGTTTTGAGACTACAGTTCCCATCACCCCTATCCACTGGTCCTGCTAGCTAGGGATCATGGGAGTTGTAGGCCAAAAACATCTGGAGGGCCGAGGCTGAGGAAGCCTGATCTAGGCCAACCCTGCAGAGCAGGAATCTTTTGCCCAACGTGGGGATTGAACTCACGAGAGAGTCAGAGTCTCAAGCGCTACTGACTGAGCACAGGCGCTCAGAGATCTGCAGCGGTTGCCAATTTGTCTCCGGGCTTCGTTCAAGCTGTTAGTACAGAAAGCCCTCAACTGCTTGGCACCGGCTTACTTACGAGATCACCTTGCCCCAGCTGTGCCCACTTGGCTGCTCCGATTGGAGGAATTGGCCCCACTGCAGGGGCCAAATGAGACCCGTTCCTTTGGAACTCCTTGCCTATTGATATCAAGCAGGATCTTTCACTGCACAGTGGTACCTCGGTTTAAGAACAGTCTGGTTTAAGAACGATTCGGTTTACAAACTCCGCAAAACTGGAAATAATGTCCCGGTTTGAGAACTTTACCTTGGAATCTGAACAGTGGAAGGGCATCGATGGTGGGAGGCCTCATTAGGGAAAGCACGCCTCGGTTGAAGAACAATTTTGGTTTCTGAATGGATTTCCGGAATGGATTAAGTTCATAAAGCAAGGTACCACTGTATTTTTTTTGGCACCTGCTAAAAACATTCCTGTTTCGGCAAGCCTGACCCAGAAACTTAAAAGGCGATACCAATTTTAAGCTGTGTAAACCATGTGCTTTTCTCCTCGTTATCTGTTTGCATCCTGCCCAGTGGTTCTTACACAATCCAGCGATGTATAAATCTCATGAAAGGAAAAGAAACGGAATGCGTGAAAGGGTGCCAACTGATGCCAGGCCTGGGTGATCCTGGACTCATCTGTGGCCAGTAGCCCCCCTGCCCATTCTCGCTTCCTTTTCCCCCTGAGCAGGGCTTTGGCTCGGACAGGCGTCAGCTCCTGGCACCTCCAGGTCTGGCCTGACTCTGGAGAGGCAGGGGGGCACAGTGCCAGGGGGTCTCCATAGCGACTGGGAGATTCCTCTGTGACCCAGACTCCGCGTGCCTTGATCCAGTCTGCATCGCTCTTGCCAGCCTGGGGAGCGGCTGCTGCTGCTGCTTGGTGTACAAAGTGCTCTGTTGTGATGGATTGCCCTTGTGACAACCGTGTGAGGTAGGCGGGGGGGGGCAGGGGTGGTCACCAACTTGGATGGCTTTTAAAGAGGATCAGACAAATTCACAGAGAAGGAAGAGAAGGGGGTTATGGAGGGCTACCAGCCACAACGGCTTCCCGCTTGGAGGCAGCAATCACAGGAGAGGAGAGGGGTCTTGTGTTCCGATCCTGCTAGCTGGTTTCGCACAGGTCAACCGTTGTGAGAACAGGATTCTGGGCTAGATCTGGTCTGATCCGGAAGGCTGCTCTGCCCTCCTCTTGGGGATTTCTGGCTCGTTGGACTCTCGGGACTCTCCCCTTTGGTGTATAGAGCGGCCGCCCCTCAGATCTGCCCTTCCTCATTCTTGCCGTGGACTTTGCGCCCAGAGAGATAAACGTGTCCCACGGGTGCTTAACCCAATTTGAAACTGGCTGCTTCTTAGTACACTGGTACCTCGGGTTAAGTACTTAATTCGTTCTGGAGGTCTGTACTTAACCTGAAACTGTTCTTAACCTGAAGCACCACTTTAGGTTATGGGGCCTCCCGCTGCCGCCGTGCCACCGGAGCACGATTTCTGTTCTCATCCTGAAGCAAAGTTCTTAACCCGAGGTACTATTTCTGGGTTAGCGGAGTCTGTAGCCTAAAGCGCATGTAACCTGAAGCGTCTGTAACCCGAGGTACCACTGTAAGTCAATCAGATTGTCATGACATACTTCGTGTGTCATGACTCATAATGTTCTTCCTGATGTTTATAGAAGCCCTATACGGCCCAGGACCCTTGTACCTACGGGACCGCCTCTCCTGGTATGTCCCACAGAGGAACTTACGGTCTTCAAACAAAAACATCTTGAAGGTCCCGAGGCACAGGGAGGTTAGGCTGGCCTCAAAAAGAGCCAGGGCTTTTTCGGCTGTGGCCCCATCTGGTGGAACGCTCTGTTCCAAGAGACCAGGGCCCTGCGGGACTTGACATCTTTCCGCAGGGCCTGCAAGACAGAGCTGTTCCACCAGGCCTTTGGCCAGGGCACAGCCTGACTCCCTCCCTCGGCAATCTTCATGGAGCTCTGGCCCAATGGCTGCCAGTGGCTTGAATTAATTAATTTTAGAATGAATGATTTTAGAATGTTGTTACTTTTATTGTTGTTAGCCGCTCTGAGCTCGGCTTCGGCTGGGGAGGGCGGGATATAAATAAAAAATATATTAATTATTATTATTATTATTATTATTATTATTATTATTATTATATTCTGAGCGTAACAGGCTCCCTGAGAAGGTGGCTGACTCTCCTTCCTCGAAGGTTTTTCAGCAGAGGCCAGATCTACCAGCGCTTATTCAGTTGAGATCCCTGCATCGCAGGGGGCAGACTAGATGGCTCCTGGGGTTCCCTTCGACTCTACAATTCTGTGAGTGCCTTGCCTGGATGATCAATGTTATTTCTCCTTTTTCCAGTTCACGATGCCTTATTTTTTTGGAGAAATGTGCAAGAACGACCGGACATACGAAGTGATCTTCTCCGGAATGCGCATCCACCCAAAAGGGGCGACGAGACCCTTTCCTAGGGAGCCATAAAGAGGTCAGCCCTTCAAGGAGGAGTGAGCAATTAGAGCTTGCGAATGCCGGTAGGGGAGGAAAAGCACAACGTTTCTATTTAGGGCTGCATGCTTCAATCAATAGGTTAATTAGTCTAATTAATCAACTGAACTTTGGTTGCAGATTAAAGCTCCCTGCCCCCTCTTCTGTGTGTGCACGGGGGGTGAGCAGAATTTGGGGTGCCCCGTGATGCAGAGAAAGGGGGGGGGAAGATGCATGTGGTCCCCGATGGATGGGGGACTCATGGGGCCCAGGGAGACAGAGGGAGGGTGCGTATTCTCTCCCTTTCTGCTCCTGTTGGCTCTCTGCCACCTCCTGCTTTCTAGAGAGATTTAGAGCATTAAGGTCAGGCAGGGGGCAGGGAGGGGGGTTAGTCCCGGTCCCTGTTCCCATGGAAACACAGCGGATCAGGATCAGGTGGGGGGCGGCGGAGTGCCCTGTCCCCCCAGGAAGTTCCCCTAGGGGGCCTCTCTTCCCCATCCCTCCCTCTGCAATTGCGCACTTCCTGCAGTTCCAGAGAACCACCCGGGTGATCTTTGAGCTGAGCCCTTTTCCAATCCCCTTCTGGCCTCTGGAGTTTCCTTTGCTAGCTCTCTTGCTGGTTCTAGGAATGGATTTCTCGTTTGTTGCCTTTCGGAATTGTGTTCCTCATAAAACAGCCTGAAGCATCTCTCTCTCTCTCTCTCTCTCTCTCTCTCTCTCTCTAATCTATCTGTCTGTCTGTCTATCTATCTAGCTATCTATCATCTATCACTATCATCTATCTATCAGCTATGTATCTATCTATCTATCTTGCTATCATCTATCTATCTATCTATCTATCTGGTCAGATACAGAAGGGTCATATATTATTGCACTGCATTTATATCCATGATTCCGCAACCCCCCTGTGTGGCAGTCCAGGCTGAGAGGCAGGGACTGGCTTCGTGCCTGAGTGGCCATTTGAACCCCGGTCTCTCCCAGGTCCTAGACTGGCACTTGGAGACATCGGATGAAGCTGAAGGATGGAAGATGCAGGACAGATCAAATGAAGGACCTGGTTAAACCGTGGAACTCCCTGCCACAGTAGGCAGTGATGGCCCCCAACTTGGATGGCTTTAAAGAGCTTTAGACCAGTTCATGGAGGAGGAGAGGACCATGGATGACTTTGAGCCAGGATCCGTGCTCTGCCTCCACCGTCAGAGGCAACAGGAGACCCCTGGAGGGAGGGGTATCTTGAGTTCGAATCCTGATTGCAGGTTTCCCACAGGCAACCATTCAGCGCCTATGAGAAGGGGAAGCTGGACTAGGTGGGCCATGGGCCTGATCCAGCACAGGCTCTCCTTAGGCTCTTCTATGCTTACAGATAACTACAATAAAAACATGGGGGTCGGTCCAAGATGTTGCCCCCAGTGGCGGGCGACGATGGTATAACCCTTGTCCAAAAATCTTCTCAGGTACTCCTTTGACATTTCCCTTTTTTAAATAAAAAAATCTTTTTTATTCAGTTTTACACTGCACATTTAAATTCAAACATTAGCCATCATCACCAGCATTTAGGATTCCCTGGTTTCCATTTTCAATCTTTTCCAACCTATTTTCTCTATTTTTCTTAAATAATCCATTTTTACCTTCGTTTTTAGTACATTTCAAGCATCACTCAAATCCTGCCAAAGTTCCTCTCTTCCTGGTTTCTTATTTTCCTGGTCATTTTCGCCATTTTGGCGTAGTCCATCATGTTCTTGTTTCTGGTCGGGACTTTATCTTCTTTCCATCTCTGGGCCAGTAGTATCAGCGCTGCTGTCGTCGCATATATAAATGATTGTTTCTGCTCCTTTGCTGTCTCTGCACTTAAAATTCCTAGTAAAAAAGCCTCTGGGCCTTTGACATTTTCCTTTTTTTGGTATATAATTTTTTATTAGTTTTTTAACAATATCATTTTCAACAATAATTAAACATACTTTTGCATCTTATTCAAATTTTTGACTTCCATCAATCCTGTCTGAAAATTTTCCAATCTAATCTCTTAGTATGCATTTTTTATTTTCCCTGTTACATTTCAAACATAACCAATATCTCTCTTTTTCTACTTTGTAACACTTCGTATATTTCTCCTTACAAAACTTCTTGTAGTCCTACTAGCGTAATTTGTTGATTACAGTTGCTCTTCAAATAATTCATATACTTCTCACAATCTTCTGTGAATCTCTGGTCCCGCAGGTTTCGAATCCTTCCTGTCATTTTGTCCAATTCTGCATAGTCCATTAATTTCGTCTGCCATTCTTCTTTCGTCGGAATTTCTTCTTGTTTCCGTTTCTGGGCTAACAATACTCTTGCCGCAGTTGTTGCATATAAAAACAATTTAACATCTTGCCTATTAATGTCCTGACCTATAATACCAAGTAAAAATGCTTCTGGTTTTTTAAAAAATGTGTATTTCAACATCTTTGTCAGATGTTTCCCAGAAGTTCTTTACTTTTTTTACATTCCCACCACATATGATAAAATGTTCCTTCTGGTCCTTTGACACTTTCCAGGGCTGCCTGACCTCCCGGGCGAAGACCTTGCAGGAGCGGCGCCTGCGATGCCTCCCATGGAAACCGAGGCCCCTCCTTGCATCAGACCCGAAGGCGCCTTGGCAGAGGACCGGTCTGAGGGCAGCCCGGAAGCGAGCCATGCCTCCCAGCCGCCTGGCACGGCCGTGACGCCCATCTCGCGCACCGTCTGCCTATACCGGCCTGTGGGCACCTTTGCCGACTCGCAGCCCCTCGTCCTGCTGCTGCCCTGGTTTGGCGCCCGGCCCGGTGCCCTGGCCAAGTACCTCTCCCTCTACCTGGGCCGCGGCTGGGCTGTGCTGGTGGCCGAGAGCAGCCTGGGCCACTTCCTGTGGCCACGGTGGGGCCTGGCGTATGCGGATCAGCTCCTGGGGCTCCTGGGGGAGGGCAAGGCCCTGGGCACCCAGCCCCTCCTCATCCACGCCTTCTCCATCGGAGGGTACACCTTTGCCCAGATGATGGTGCACCTCGCCAGACACCCCGAGCGGCATGCCGGCATCGGAGAGCGCATCTGCGGCTGCGTCTACGACAGCCTGGTCGCAGGCAGCCTGGAGAATATGGCTCAGGGTGAGCAGTGGGCCTCCTGGGGTGGGGAGGAAGGGGCTGGCGGGACGGGTTTGCTCGCCACAGGCCGTGCCCAAAGCGGCTCACAGCCAGCATTCAAAACATCAAAGTGCAGAATTCAGAATACAGTGGTACCTTGGTCCTCAAACTTAATCTGTTCCGGAAGTCCGTTCTCCACCCCCATTGTTCTACATGGATGCTGAGGTCCAGCGCTGAGGCCTTCTGGCGGTTCCCTCCCTGCGAGAAGTGAGGTTACAGGGAACCAGGCAGAGGGCCTTCTCGGTGGTGGCACCTGCCCTGTGGAACGCCTTCCCTTCAGATGACAAGGCAATAAACAACTATCTGACTTTTAAAAGACACCTGAAGGCGGCCCTGTTTAGGGAAGTTTTTAATGTCTGACGCTGTATTGTTTTTGATATTTGGTCGGAAGCTGCCCGACAAGGGATGCGGGTGGTGCTGTGGGTTAAACCACAGAGCCTAGTACTTGCCGATCAGAAGGTCGGCCGTCCGAATCCCCGCAACGGGGTGAGCTCCCCTTGCTCGGTCCCTGCTCCTGACAACCTAGCAGTTTGAAAGCATGTAGATAAATAGGTACCATTCCGGTGGGAAGGTAAATGGCATTTCCGTGCGCTGCTCTGGTTCTCCAGAAGCGGCTCAGTCCTGCTGGCCACATGACCCGGAAGCTGTACGCCGGTTCCCTCGGCCAGTAAAGCGAGATGAGAGCTGCAACCCCCGAGTCGGCCACGACTAGACCTAATGGTCAGGGGTTCCTTGACCTTTACCTGGAAGCCACCCAGAGTGGCCGGGGAGACCCAGTCAGATGGGTGGGGTATTATTATTATTATTATTCCTTCCCGCATCTCTGTCTCCTACCCCCCCAAAAAAACCTGGGGTGCTTGAGCTGCCTTCTTTCTCCCCCCCCCCAGGCGTGGCCAGGATGACCAGCTCCTCTGCGGCCGTCCGGCCTCTCCTCCGCGGAGGCGCCCTGCTGTACTTCCGCCTCTTCCGCCTGTGCACCGTGGCACACTACGAGGCTGCCCTGGGCGCCTTCCACCACCCGCCCCTCCGCTGCCCCGTGCTGGTCTTCTTCTGCCACAATGACCCGCTGAGCGACGCCCGCACCATGCAGCAGCTGCTGGGCGCCTGGCGGGCACTGGGCCTCCGTGTGCAGGTGCAGGAGTGGGCAGTCTCTCGCCACGCGCAACACCTGCGCCTCTACCCCCAGGAGTATTCCCGGGCGCTGGGCGCTTTCCTGCAGCAGCTGGGCCTCCTGCCCACCTCTGGACTCCAGGCAAAACTTTAGCGCGTGAGAAGGAACCAGAAATGGACGCTCGGCAGAGGAGGAAGACATCACCGCTGCCATCCCTGCGGCGGGCATGGAGGCGAAAGGCCCGTTTGCCAGAGCCGCTCCAGGAGGCTGCAACCGGATGGGTGGCTGGACTTGGGGGTCCCAATGGAGCAACTCTCCCCACCCAAAAAACCCACATACTTTTGAGCGCTGCAGCTTATTGCAATGGAAGTGCCCAGGAAATAGGTGCCATGGATGGGTGGCATGGAGGTGAATTGCCACCAGCAGAAGGAGGGCAGGCGGCAAGGCTGTTCCCCCCACTCTGCTAAGGTTGTGGGGTCTTTCTAAACACGTCAGCAGCGGAAGCTGGGAAGCCAGGATTGCAATGGGGGGAAGTGGGCAACGCGAAGTCTCCCTCTCCCTGCATCTTGAGTCATTGAGAGGGGCAAGCAGAGGGCACACCACACACACAGGTTAAACCGAGGGACCCCCACCCCGATGGCTTCTGAAAAAGGGGCTTGGACCGATCCATGGAGAAGGATCTGCCGAACTTGCCGCTGCAGGAAGCCAACCTGGATGGCTTCTGAACGCTGGAAATTATGGGAAGGGGGCGTTGCTCTCGTTGCTCGGATCCGATGGTGGGCTCCACCCCCCCTGGGCTGACCACTGTGTGGACAGGAGGCAGGGTTACTCAGAGGCCCCTTGGGCCGGATCCAGCGAGGTTTTCCTTGCGTTCCTCACGCCAGACCATTAAACAATGCTCCGTAGCTTTATTATTCTTTAATAATACACAGTGACACAAGAGGAGACCTTGAGCATGCGCAAGAGTTACAGCCTTGAGGCGAGGGGGGGAGGGAGGGGGGCAACTCTGAAGGAGCCCCCAAGAACCAGCGGGGCTCTGGCCAGCAGCAGCAGCAGCTGCCCCCCACCCACCCCCAGCGGCCAAGAGGAGGGCGAGGGTCTGCTGCCCCCGTCGCTTGGCAGGGACGAGACCCAAACGGGGCAGGATGCGGCCCTATCGGCTTTAAGGGGGAGGCTGTGACCCCCAAACCAACTGCCTCAGTGCCCCCCAAGTGCAGCTGCACAAACCTCCCGAGGGTCCTGAGATGAGATGGGGTGGAGAGTCCCCTGGGGACGTTTCCCTGGCTCTCCCCATTTCTGCCCCCCCCCCATTAACATCAGTGGGGAAAGCGGGTGCTCCAGCAAGCCTGGCTGGGGAGGGGGCTGCAGCACCCTGCAGAGAGGGGAAGGGGGGCAGCCCCTAGGCCCCAACAGCCTCTGGGAATTTGGGGAGCCCCATTTGGGGTGTAGGGGGGGCACCTGGTCCCAGGATTCTGGCTCCCACAGCAGGGGGCCCGGCCACTAGCCCCCTCCTCCCCTCAACTGTGCCCCGGGGAGGGGAGCGGGCATGGAGGGGGTGTCATGCCCCCCTCGACTTCCGGCAGAGATCCGTGAGGCTGCCAGCAGGTCCTGCCGTGGTGGGGAGAGTCAGTCACCCCCCCCTCCAGCGCTGGGGCAGAAAGAAAGAGATGGACAGAACGAGACAGAGAGAGAGGAGGAGGGTGGCACACGGCTCTGGCACCAGCCAGGTGGTTCGTAGTGCAAGTCTTTGACTGTCAGCACGGCCGAGAGGCCGGAGGGGGGGGCGGCCAGGTGAGCCCGCCCCTTCAGGTGCGCCGGCAGCGGGCGACGGGGGCCGGGACGGTGGGGGCCGCTCGCTGGGCGCCGCTGCTCCGGAATCCGTCCTCAGTACAGCCGCTTCTCGTAACTGCGGAGGGAGGGGAAAGGAGGAATCAGAAAGAGGGAATCGTAGCGTCGGAAGGGGGTCCTGCGGTCATCTAGCCCAACCCGCTGCGAGGCAGGCCCCGTTCTCTCTAACGTCCTCTGCAGGGCAGGTGGCTGCGCTCGGGCATCCAGATTCTGACCGACCCCAAACCAGGGGTCGCTTGGAGAGCGTGGCCCCACATCCCACACCAGGGTTGCTTTCCCTGCCAGGTGGGGCAGGGGAGGACCCCTGAGAGGGAACATGGAGACCGGCAGAGTCTGCTTGTTCTCCTGAAGACCCCGCCCTTCCCAAAAAGCCCCTCCACCCCACTGGAAGTGGACGCCCCCCCCAAGCGCCCTAACACCAAACGGAGGACCACTCATAGACTCTGGGGAGGCAGCAAGGCATGAAAGGTGCGTGAGAGGAGGAGGGAGGAGGAAGCCAGGCAATGCGGTGAGGGGAGGGGGGGCGTGGGGGGTGGAAGCTTGGGAGCCAGGCAGGCAAGGGGGCCGGAACCCTCAGAGCCCCAGATGCCTCAGGGCCACAGAGCTGGAAGGGACCCACGGGTCATCCAGTCCTCGCCCCGCAAGGCAGCTGTGGGGATTGCGGAAGGGAACCCCCAGCTGAAGACGGGTGGCAACAGCCGGGCGCTAACCCTAACCCTTTCCCCACTCCTGACTTCCCACCCCATGGGCTCAGCTGCGCCCTCTTTGCCACCAAGCGGTGTCAGGGGGAAGATGAGGCCTCCGTGCGGCGCATGTGCCCAGGACAGCACCTGTGCCCCCCCGACTTTTGGTACCCTCCTCTGGGTCATCTTAGCACCCCTGGGAGAGAGGGAAAGGCTGGCAGGCAGAGGGTGCCAATCCTGGTCCCCCTTGCCCTAAAAGCAGACCCCACTCCCAGGTCTTGCTTCACACATCACTGCAAAGTGGGGAATCCCATGGGGAATTTAGTCGTTATCGCCATAGAGATGAAGCGTTGCAGGGTTGGCAGGGACCCCCAGAGGCCATCTAGTCCATCCCCCTGCGACACAGGAGTCTCAGCTGAAGCATCCGTGGCAGGGGAGAGAAGCAGAAAGGAATCCTCCTTCCTGCCCCACGGACTCTCCCCCGGCCCCGATCCCCCGCAGCCCAGAGAGGTCAGGGACTGCGGAGAGCAGCCTCACAACGCTCATTGCAGATCCACCATTTTTTTTGGGGGGGGGAGGTTTGGTGTGGGGAGAGCGGGGGAAAGCTTGCAAAAGCAGTGGGGGAGTTGGGGGTGTTGAGAGGGGATGTGTCCCACCCGGCCCACGGCTGTAACTACCCCCCCAGATGTGCCCGGGGGAGAGCAGAGAGGGAGAATGCAGCAGCTGGCCCACATCCAAGACACGCGGGTTGGGGACGGACCTGCGGATCTCCCCGCCCCAGTTACTTACATGGCAGAAACGTAAAACTACAGGCAGGCGGCCATGGGCGTGGGCAGGAGAGAGAGAGAAGGTCACAAGGTCAACGTGTTCCTGCCCAGGACACACACAGGCGCGCAGCCCCCTCCCCAAAAACACCAGCAGAGCTGCCGCCACCAAGCCTGGAGCCCACAGCTGCCCGTCACCGCCCCCCCAGCGACTGCCGGGGGTCCCGCTCCCAAGCCAGCACTAGGCAAGAGCTCCCAGGCCCCTCTATGGCCCTAGCGAAGCTTCGGACCCTCGCCTTCCAACCCACGCGCAGAGGACGCAGAACAGGGGGGCAGGGGCCCGAGAGAGAGAGAACGGACAGAGGCTGCCCCCTGCCAGCCAACACCCCCTAAGAGGGAGATGTGGTATTGGCCGGAACCCCAGAATTCCCCTCTCGCCCCTCCAAACTGGAACAGTGCGAAGGGGAACTGCGGAACTCACTGCCACAGTGGCGACAAGCCACGGCGGCTTAAAAAGAGGATGAGACAAAATCAATGGCCCCCGGCCGCAATGACCAGGCTCTTGTCTCCCGTGTCGGAGGCAGCGATGTTCCTGAATGCCGGCTGCTCTGGGAAACGAGGAGGGGAAACCATGTCTCATGTGTTCGAATCCTGCTCGCTGGCTACCCACAAGGGGCACCTGGTTGGCCGCTGTGAGGGCAGGAGGCTGGATGAGATAGGCCCCCTTGGGCCTGATCCAGCCTCGTCTTTCAGAAGCCTTTGATTTCAGATCAAAATGGAAAGCCGAATTTTTTTGGGGGGGTGTTGAGGTGGAAGGGAAGGCGAGGGAAGCCTGGGGGTTTCTAACGTTTTGCTACGTCCCCAGGGCCCCCCTGCCCAAGCAGGCACCCAATTTTGCCAGAGTAAAGGGGCCACAGGCCTGATCCTGTGGGCTCTTCTGACCTTCTGAGTCGGGAGTCCAAACCATCCAGGTTACAGGAATTTGCTGCAAAAGCTGAAGTGCTGGACACCCCCCCTTTCCCTGTCACCCCCCCATGCCCACCCAAACCCTGCAGGGGAAGAGGCACCCCAGGAATACGTAGAGCTGCACCCCAGGAAACAAGGGGCCAAAGCTCTCCCATCCCATCCAATGTGCATTTAACCCGCACCACACACGGTTCAAGGCCGGCAAGCTGAAACTGCGCATGTGAAATCCAAGCAAAGCAGAGAGTGAAAAAGCTCTTTTGGGGGGGCACCAGGTTCGCTCGGGGTTTTCCCAGCACCTGAAGAGCTTTTAAGCTCCCTGCTTCGTTTGGGGGTGAGGGCACGGCCCGCTCAATGCGCCGGGTCTGGGGCGCTCACGGGAACTCGAACCCAGAGCCACAGAAATCCCTGCAGAGACTCGCACAAATGCCCCTGGCCTCCCAGAGCTGGCGCGCCCGGCGGGTCTTGCCCCCTAAGCACAGCAGAGCGTGCAAAGGCTATTTCTGACTTGGGGTACCCGGCACAAAAAGAGCTTTTCAGCTGTCCCGCCATGCTTGCCTGGCAAAGACCCCTTGGCGTGTGGGCTCTGGGAGTGCGGGGGAATTCTCTCTCTCTCCCCCCACCCTGCAATTTTGGGGTACACATGGAACCCTAGAAACTGAACCTTTCACATCAGATTTAGAGAGCATGGAGCGTGGGGTGCCCGGCCCGGGATGCGCCAAGAGTTGGACTGGTAACCAAGAGGCTGCCACACTCCAAGTCGGGTTCAGACCTTTGCCTCTCTCTGGTGAGGGGGCCACCAGCGGCAGGGCCCAGCAAAATGACCCCTGGCCCACCCTCGAAAAAAAGAGGGGTCTGCCGGCCAGACTCATGAAAAAGCTGCCTCATTTTGGGGGATGATTCCATAAAGTTGTTCGGTGCTTTCCCACAGGGTTGCTGGCAAGGTCCGTGGGACTGGAAGAAGAGAGGGGTGGGGGGGCCTGGGGAACTGGGGGGGTGGGGTCCAAGGGGCAGGGGGAAGGTCGGCCACCAGTTCCCCCGTGATTCTGGCCTCGGTTGGCCCCAAAACTTCTCACCAGGACTAGAAACCTGAGGAGCCCAAAACCAGAAAGCCAATGCGTCCAGGGCTCTGCAAATTTCACCCCATTTAAAAAACCAGACTTGGGAGGCCCGCCCCCCCAAATTCCCAGCTCAGTCACCGCCCATATTAAACTGGCCCAGCCTTCTTGGGTTTGCGGGGCGAATAGCACAGCAGCAAGACAACTCTTGCAGAGAAAAAGACACAGAGCAGGTCTTTTTTTTGGGGGGGGTCAGGCTGGGTTGGGGCGATTCCTTCCGCGATTGAGGGACCCAGCTATGCAGCTGGTTGCAGGAATCGCCAGGAAAAAGGCTACTTTGGGGGGGGGTCTATGAACAGCTGCCACCCTTACGCTAAACCCCATGAAGCAAGTGGGTGCCTCACCTCCCTAGCCTGAGAGCCCCCCCAAAAGATGCCTCCTGTCCTCATCCCTGCAGGGGGGGGGGGTTGAAAGATGGGGTTGTCCTTGGCCCCAGATTCGCTCCTGTGCGGGCAGAGTTTGATCCTGGGGGACCCCCCAACCTCCAAGGAACCAACCTGTCCCCGATCTTGTCGGAAGGTTCAGGGCAGATCACAGAAAACCCTTCGCACACTGCAGAGCCGACCTGCGGAACTCCCTGCCACAGGAGACCGCGATGGCATTAAAGTATTGGACAAATCCATATACGGATGAGAGACAGCCCTGCTCCTGCGTCCCAGTTGCTGGAAACTGAAGGGGAAAGGGCTCTTGGGGTCGGATCCTGCTTGCTCAGGGAGAAAAGGATGCCCTCCTTTGGGTTCTCAGTGGTGGAGCCTGGCTCAAACGGCCGCAGGATGGCCCCCTGCGCTTCTTGGGCTAGAAAACTCTTGCGGTCCATTCCAGCTCTACAATACAGTGGTCCCTTGGTTCTCAAACTTAATCCGTTCCGGAAGTCAGTTTCAAAAGCAAAGCGATCCAAAAGTGAGGCGCGCTTTCCCATAGAAAGCAATGCAAAATGGATTAATCCGTTCCAGACTTTTAAAAACAACCCCCAAAACAGCAATTTAACATGAATTTTACTATCTAACAAGACCATTGATCCATTGACTTCCCTTCCAAGATGGCGATGGGAGTAGCAGCCTCGTTAGAGCTCTCCCGCTCGAATCCATGGTTTTAAATAGCCTATAGCCGTTCCCTTGATTTTTGCACTGAAATGAGGCTGCATTTTAATGTTTTGATATTGTATTTTAATCTTGTTTTTTAAGCTGTGGTTCAATCAATTGTTTTTATATTTGGTGTTAGCCGCCCTGAGTCCAGTCTTGGCTGGGGAGGGTAGGGTATAAATAATAATAATAATAATATATTAATATATTAATTATTATTAAAATGAAAGCAATAAGCAATGTACTGCAGTCAGTACCTGAACTGGGTTCCACGCAGTCGCAAAAACAAAACGAAAAAGCCGCTGAAACAAAAACACAAAATAAAGAGCAAAAACAGACAGACCTCTGCGTGGCACTCAAAACGGAGCACGTTCAGCTTCCGAAAAAGGTTTGCAAACCAGAACATTTACTTCCGGGTTTGCAGTGTTTGGGTTCCAAGTTGTTTGACTGCTAAGCCGTCCGAGAACCAAGGGACCACTGTATAGTTGGGACCACATAATGGATCTTCATCGACTCCCAGTATGTTTCCAAGCATAATTCAAAGTGGGGGGGCTGACCTTGAAAGCCCTAGACGGCTTTTGGCCCTGGACACCCGAAGGGCATCTGGTCCAACCCGCTGCAACGCAGGAAGAGGTTGGAGGGAGGAAATGAACCCCCCCCTTAAAAAAATGAACACCCACCTTCCGAGAAGCTGGGGGAGCAGCTGGCCTCTCTCTCCGAGGCTGCCCTCCAGGAAGACAGGGGCAGGCAGTGGGGTGGCCCCCCTTCTCTCCCTAGACAAGCCCTTGAAAAGGGGGGGGGGGCGGGAGAGTCCTTTGGGGGGGTCTGTGCTCAGGCAGGAAGGAGGTTTGAGAGCAGGAACGGAGGCGAGGGCAGCACCGGGGAAAGCAGAAAGGGGGGGGGAGGCCCAGATGGCAATGGATTTTCAGGGGGGCGGAAGGGGGGGCTACTCACGAGTGCAGGCCGTGGACGCCCCCCTCGATCTGGGCCGACATCGTCCGCTTCTCAAACTTCAGTTCACCGGAGTACATCATGGACCTGCAAAGGAGATGCAGCCGGCTAAGTGTCTGAGGCGGAAGGGGGGGTCTCCAGGGGGCATCTAGTCCACCCCACCCCTGCTCAGGATGCGACGACGGTGTCCCCGGCCAGCCCCAGTGAAGAGGAGGCTGCTGCGCACCCCCCAAACCACTCCAGTTCAGTCCCTCTTCTACTGTCCAACAGCTCTAACCATTGGGCAGCACTTCCCCCACCAACAGGAAGCCACAGTCACTCCCTGGACCCACCCGGTCAAACCCCGACAGCTAAACCACCCCGTCTTTAACCACGGAGGCAGAGCAGAGCCAGCCTGGCTAGAAGCCATCGATCACCCTTTCCTCCAGTGGCAGGGAGTTCCGCAGTTCCGCGGAGAAGGGCCTCCATCATTTTAGAAGCAGCTGTTATGCTTGCCTTTCCTTCAAGCCAGGGTACCCGAAACTCGGATCTCCAGCGGTTGCTGGACTACAGCTCCCATCATCTCTAGGACCAGTGGTCAGGGATGCTGGGAACTGTGGTCCCAAGACAATTTGGAAAACTAAAAGAGACAGCCTGGTCCATTTGTGACAGACCAGCCACCGGCCCTGGAGACTTTTGAAGACCCCTCTTGCGTTCTGACCCTTCTCCGAATGCGCCCTCAGAGGCTTTGTGTTCGAATCCTGCTGGCGGGTTTCCCATCTGGGGCATCCGGTCAGCCTCTGTGGGAACAGTATGCTGGACGAGACGGGCCTGATCCAGCAAAATCTCCAGCACCCAGGGGGCTCACCGATGCAATTCTTAACAGAATCATAGAATCTCAGTCGAAAGGGACCCGAGGGTCATCTAGTCGAACCCCCTGCAATGCGCGAATCTCAGCTAAAGTCTCCAGGATGGTTGTTCTCTTTTTGGCAGAGTTGGCTTAAGGCCGGCATAGGCAAGCTCCGGCCCTCCAGATGTTTTGGGACTACAACTCCCATCATCCCTAGCTAACAGGACCAGTGGTCAGGGATGATGGGAATTGTAGTCTCAAAAACATCTGGAAGGGCCGGATTTTGCCTAGGCCTGGCTTAAGGGATATTTTGTGGGATTCTTCTTCTCTTGGAAATCCGGTTGGAAGGAAGGAAGGAAGGAAGGAAGGAAGGGTAACCATCTATAAATAACCAAACCGAAATAACTAGGAGTCGGGTGCGATTTTAAAAACGCAGAAGCGGCTCGTAAGCTGCCTCTCCAGCGGAGCACCATTTGACGTAGTTTCCTCTGAGTCGCACGGGCGACAGCTGGGTTGGCGTTGGCAGCTGAGAAAAAGCTGCCGTTTATTCCCACCTTCCGCCCACCTTCTGCGCGGAAAGGAAAATAACGTTGCCAAAACGTTGTGAGATTTCAAGGGAAGCCCGCCAGCAGGCAGAAGGCGCTCTCCCTACGGCGCTTGAGCAGCCACCCCACAGCGAGGGGCCTGGGATCCCCCATTCACCCTCCTGGTCAACCCTGGCCTCCAAGTTTCCCGTGCCAGAGTCAGGGAGAGGGGCCATCTCTCCCCTTAATCTGTGGAACTCCCTGCTGCAGGAGGCAGTGACGGCCAGAAACCTGGGTGGCTTTAAAAGAAGACTGGACTAATTTACGGGGTACGAAGGCGATCAGTGGCCACTGGCACATCCCCTCACTTCTGAAGGAGCGGCAACTGCAACACAGGGGGCTGCGGGGAGACAAATCGGCGCCAGGCCCCCCCTCCCAAAAGTCTGTGTCCCGCACAGTGCCGGATTTGCCTATAAGCTAAACAAGCTCTAGCTTAGGGCCCCACTCTCTTGGGGGCCCCAAAAAAAATTAAAGGGAAAAAACAACTGGAAGTATATTTCCAAAATATAAGATAAAAAAGCTAATAAAATAAAACCTACATAGAGCGACAGTGTTTCGTGTTGTGTCGGCTCTTATGATTTAAGTAATGGGCGCTGCCTGCTCCCTAAAATATCACTGCTTTGCTATTACTATTTCACATTATAGCAAGTTTCTAGAGACTAGATTATGAGTCTTTGTAAATTGTGTTTCTGAAGGAGCTTTTGTCATTGCCCAATGCCAATGCATTTGCATTGTTAAGTTTGTTATGAATAAAGAATCATTTTAAGTTTGAGTTTAATAATCATTTCATGATTAATATACTTCTTCTTAATTGTATTTCACTATTAATATACAGTGGTACCTTGGGATGCGAACGGGATCCGTTCTGGAGCCCCGTTCGCATCCTGAATACAACGTAAGATGTGACTCTGCGTCGGTGCGTGCGCAGGTTGTGTTTTGCCGTGTCTGCGCATGTGCGTGACGTCATTTTGAGCGTCTGCGCGAGCGGCGAAACCCGGAAGTAACACGCTCCATTACTTCTGGGTTGCCGCAGAGCGCAACCCAAAAGCACTCAACCTGAAGCACATTCAACCTGAGGTATGACTGTACTTCTTCTTAAT